GTAGAGACAGGGAAGGGGAGGATGGCTTCAAAGTGATGGAGGGCAGGGATGGATGGGATTTGGGCAGGAATTGTTCCCTGTGGAGGGTGGGCAGGCCCTGGCACAGGGTGCCCAGAGCAGCTGTGGCTGCCCCTGGATCCCTGGCAGTGCCCAAGGCCAGGCTGGACACTGGGAATTGGAGCAGCCTGGGACAGTGGGAGGTGTCCCTGCCATGGCAGGGGTGGCACTGGAAAGAGATGATTTTTAAGGTCCCTTCCAACCCAAACCCCACGACTCCACGATTCTGTAGCGCACAGACAATCCTTATTTCCCAAACACCCTCCCCAGCCCGAGCTGCTCCAGCAGGGATAACTCCACCCGTGTGGGGCTCCATCCAGCTGGAGCTCTCAGCAGTGGCTGCTGGGTCGTGCTCTCCCCTGGAAGGAACAGAACAGTGGCTTTGGATTGCTGTGGAAGCAGGAATGGTGGCAGCAGCTGCCTGGCATGGAGTGACAAAATGCTTCCCCTGGTACAGAGAGTGTGCAGCTTGTCAGCCTCTCCCTGCAGGGGCTGGGGGAGGGAGAACAGCTGAGTTTCACACAGAACAGGAGCTGTGGGGTCAGTGTGCCCCCACAGCCACCGAGTTCTGAGCACAGTTCCCGTTTCACCGTGACACTTCACGCACACCCAGGACGCCAAAAGGCTCGAGTGACAGGGGGACACATCCAGCTGGGCATCCCAAACCCCCACAGCTGGATGTGCACAGCTGCTGGGCAGTTCAGCAGCCGTGGGTGCCGCCTGCCTCGGCCAGGACACGCAGAAGCCAAAGGGGAGCTGCAAAGAGCTGCCGGAGGGAGGGGACGTGCTGGGGCTGCACACACCTGGGGGTCCTGCAGAGCAGGGGTGACCCCGGTGTGTGACACGAGAGCACTTCACGCACACCCAGGACACCAAAAGGCTCGAGTGACAGGGGGACGCATCCAGCTGGGCATCCCAAACCCCCACAGCTGGATGTGCACAGCTGCTGGGCAGTTCAGCAGCCGTGGGTGCTGCCTGCCTCGGCCAGGACATGCAGAAGCCAAAGGGGAGCTGCAAAGAGCTGCCGGAGGGAGGGGACGTGCTGGGGCTGCACACACCTGGGGGTCCTGCAGAGCAGGGGTGACCCCGGTGACCCCACAGAGCCAGGGCTGCAGCACCAGGGTGCTGTGACCCTGCACACCGGGATCCCAGCCTGAGGGAGCTGCAGCTGCTCTCCTGGAAGCATTATTCCCGGCTGAGCCGGAGGAAGGTGTCCGTGGAGCTCTGGCACTGTGTTTTATCAGCCCCAGCTCTGTGTCCTCGCTGCTTTCAGGCTGGCTGTAGCTGCTGAGAAAGCCAAAGTGCCCCTGGATCCTTTTGTGCATTTTTACCTCCCCGTTTTGGGGCCCTCTCCCGGAATTTTTCCCTGGGTGATTTTTCCCTGTGGAAAAGGAGCGGCGTGTCATAAACCCTTTGTTACGGAGGAAAACATTCCCAAACCTCTTTCCCTGGTCAGAGAAAAGCTTCCCTTCCCTCTCTAGGAAAAGTTGAGGCTCTGGTGAGCACAAGGCAGCCTTGCTGGAGGAGAGGCAGCAGCAGCAGGAGCTGGTGTGGGCACAGCCTCGGGATGCACGCACGGATGATTCGGCAGATTCCCGCAGATCCTGCAGCCAGCAGCGCCGGGCACTCACAGCCCCAAAAATCAGCCTCACACGGGGTTTGTGTGGCTCTTCCCCTTGTCAAAGCAGGCGCGGTGTTAGCACAGGGCTGAGGGAGGCGATGGGCATTGGTGGCTCTGCTGGTTCTGCCCTTGGGAATTCGGGCAGGAGGAGCAGGCAAAGCAGCACAAACACATCCCAACCCCCAGGGAGTGCCAGCAGAGCAGGGAGACTCGGGGTGTCGAAAATTCTGAGGATTTCCTTCATTCACACTAACTTAATTGCCTAAAGAACACCTGGAGAGAAGGCTGAGTGCTGGTGTAAAGTGTGAGTAGTGACAGCTCCCGTGGCTGGGAACACTCACTGGATCCTCCGGGAAAACCAGGAGCAGTCGCTGCTTGAAAGCAGGGAAGTGAAATTTAAAAATGAGCACAGCTTTTTCAGGTCCCTGCAGAACTTTGCTGCCCACCTCAGAACCACCAAAGGGATCCAGATCTCCTGCTTTTATCCCTCAGACCCACGCAGGAGGTGAGCTTCAAGGTGCCCTTCCACCTGCTGGCACCTCACAGGGAGGGAAATCAGGCTCAGAAATAGCCAGGGACCGAGGATTCAAGGGCAAACAAAACGGGAACAGCCACAAAATTGAACAAGTATCAATATTTACTGGGCAGGAAAGAGCACAGGCTGTACTGCTAGCACAACACATCATTTATTCCGAGGCTGCCCAGCCACAGCTCCCTCCAAGGGCTGGATCCCACACAGGCTTTTCCCAGGCTGCTCCTCCAAAAGGCAGCTCTGGAAGGAAGCTGAGCGGTGAGAGCAGCACGGGACGCAGCAGCTTTGTGCCCAGGGCTCAGCACGTTTTCACACGCTCCGTTTCCTTCCCAGCGTTGTTGTGTGGAGCTGAGATCCAGGCAGGATCCGTGGGGCTGGAGCTCCCTGTCGGAGCTCCGGCTGCTCCCTGCCCCGCTCTCCTCGCTCGTGCTGCTGCAGAGAGACAACAAAATTTGGGATCTGCTCCTTCAGCCCGCAGAATCCACGTCAGATCCTGCTGGGAGCCCCCCCACGGGCTCTGCCAGGGCAGGAGCAGGTGTTTGCTCCTTCCTGCAGGATTCCTGGGTCCCCTCTCCAGCCCCCTGCTCCGGCCAGCACGCCTCCCTGTCACTCCCACACGAAAGTTTTATCTGCAGGAAGCACAGATTGTGAGAGCTGGCTGGTTCGTGAAATATCCATAATTAAATTTGGGGAAATCTACGGGGGTTTATAGAGGTTCAGACACTCTGAGAAATAAAATAGAAACAGAAGAGTCCTGGCCAACTTCTGTTGGCCTGTAGACTTATTAGGGATTGCAGTCCAAGGAAACCAGGAATGTGAGTATTCCTGTCCAAAAACATCCCGTTAAGGCTATTTTATTTTAATCACAGCTGTGCTAAAAACCACACAGTTCTCTCGCACCATCCAATCACCTTCCCTGATAGGATGAAAGCCCATTTTCCCTGACTTTTTATTACAACCATCTTGAAGACAGACATGCCAAGAGCTGGGGGAAGGTTTGAGATTCCCACTATGTTTGTGTTACACCCCCAAAACCTGCACAAGGCTGTTGGGCAGCTCCACCTCAACCTGTGGTGCTTTAAGCAGAGCAGGTAGGACCTGGCAGGTTAATTTGGAGGAGGGAGAGGGTGTCTGAGGCCGGGGCTGAGCCTGCCATGCTCTCATGCACATATTAATGAACTGCTCTATTCGGGATCAATCGACAGCACCGCTACTTTTATTGACTTTATAATTAGCAGTATTTTACTTTTGCTGGAATAAAGCCGTTTTACCTAATGTAAAATCTATCATTTCCAGCCCGTTATTAGCATAGGAATGGTTGGGGCCTCTTCGGGAGGGCTCTGACTGTCCCTGTCCTTATCCCTGCCCATCCCGCGGGGACACCTCGGGCTCTCCCGTCGCTGCTCGCGGTGCCGCAGCCTGCCCGAGGGACCCTTCCCAGCCCTTCCCAACCTTTCCCGACCCTTCCCAACATTTCCCAGCCCTTCCCGACCCTTCCCAGCCCTTCCCCGCCGGCGGCTCGGGGGCTGCGCATCCCCCGCCAGCCCCGTCCATCGCCGGCCCCGGAGCGGCTCCTCCCGCCGGGATTTCCCGGAGCTTCCCAGCGCCCCGGGGGGAGCGGGGGGAGAATCCCGGCCTGGGGGGAGCGCCCGGCCCGGAGCCCCCGGGAGCGGCCGGCCGGGAGCGCTCGGGGGAGCGGGCGGGTGCGGGGTCTACCGGGCCCGGTTCGGGCTTTACCCGGGCTCGTTGTGGGCTCTGCCCGGGCTGGGTGCGGGTTCTACCCGGGCTCGGTGTGGATTCTGCCCGGCTCGGTTCGGGCTCTGCCCGGCTCCGTGCTGGCTCTACCCGGGCTCGGTTCGGGTTCTGCCCGGATGAGTGCGGGCTCTACCCGGGTTTGGTTCAGCTCTACCCGGGCTCGGTGCTGGCTGTGCCCGGGCTCAGTGCTGGCTTTACCCGGGCTCTACCCGGGCTCTACCCGGGCTCGGTTCAGCTTTACCCGGGCTCGGTGCTGGCTTTACCCGAGCTCGGTTCAGCTTTACCCGGGCTCGGTGCTGGCTCTGTCCGGGCTCGGTTCGGGCTCTGCCCGGCTCCGTGCTGGCTCTACCCGGGCTCGGTTCAGCTCTACCCGGGCTCGCTGCGGGCTCTACCCGGGCTCAGGGGTTCCCGGTCCCCCCCCGATCCCGCTCTGGAAAAGATTCCGAGCCGTTCCGCTTTGCTCGCTTTTATTACCTGAGGGAACCTGACAGAACTCGTAAAGACACAATTGCTATGGAGCGTCCACCGGCCGGCTCGGCTGCCGCAGAAAAGCCCAACGCGAACGTCCCGCTTTGTGCAGCCGAAACTCGGGGAAAACTCACAGAAAGTGGAGGGGAAAAAAAAAAAAAGTTTAAAAAAAGCTGCGCGGAGGCGAGCGGCGCTTCCTCGTCGTGCTGAGCGCTATCGGCGTGTCGCGACATCTACGGAGCGGAAAGAAACGTGCGAGATCTACGGGAGGTGAGAAGACGGAAAAGAAAGAACATCACCGCTGGCTGGACACCGACAGTCCCGGCAGGAGCTGGCACCGGCCCCCGAGCGGCCCCGTCAGTCAATAGGCAAAGTGTCTTAAATTCATTACTTGGCACTTATTGAAATTCGTGACGTCGAAAATGGATTAAAAAAGGTGAAGCAAACCTGAGTGAAACAAAATATATTGTACTGACAACAAATGCAATGAGATAACAGCATCTTGCTTTCTTTTTTTTTTTTTTCTCTTTTTTCTTTTTTAAATAACTTAAAATACACTAGAAAAAATATGGTCAATATAAATAATTTTGTTTTCATGGAGAACAAATAGATACAAAGCCCGTCCATACCAAAGTTCGCGTAGAAGAGCTTTCCCTCTGTCTTGGCAATAAGCTTGAGGGTCAGATGGCAAAATCTGGGATAACAATCACTGACTGCAGGGTACCCCAGGTTAAATAGCTATACGTCTCTCAAATAATAATAATAATAACCAAAAAAATCACAAGGTTACGTGAATAGATACACCTTTATGAGATAAAATGTAAATGTTTGACAGTCAACTATCAATTCACAAGTTATAGCCAAAATAAACTTTGTTCGTGTGTATCAACATATTTTACATGTACCCAGTACCTCTTATTGGAATTTGCCGTGGTGTCAAGTGGTGGTTGGGAATTAAATACTCTCTTTTTTTTTTTTCTTTTCCTTTTTTTTTTTTTTTTTTTTTTTTTTTTTGGCATTTACTTTTGCCCTCAGGACAGGAGAGACCCGGCAAAGGGAGGCAAACTCCGCTCTCCTGGCGCTTTCCGCTCCCTTTTATTTCAGAGGTGGGACAGCAAACGACCAACAAAGATTTGAGAGTGGAAAAGGTGGTGCTTGATCTGCCTCTCTGTGCCTGCTTCCCTCCAAGATTAAAGGAGAAAGAACCCAGCCACGTTTGTTTGTTTGCTTTTGTGGTTGTCTCGATTTTTTTTTTCTACTAAAGATGAGGGTGAAGTGCAAGTGAATCAAAGGACTCCATCAATGAAATACAAATACATGCAACCCGGAATGCTGCTGGAGGAAGTATCCCGGACAGTCTTCCATTAGAAATTCGCAGAGAAATCATTGTCTTTTTTTTTTTTCCTATTTTTTTTTTTTTTTGTGGTTTTTTTTTTTTTTTTTTTTTTTTTTTTTTTTTTTTTTTTTTTTTTTTTTTTTTGTCGCTATTCCAGACGTGGTTGTTAAACTCAAGTACCTGATGCAACGTGAAAGGAGGCCCGCCTCTCTTATCAAATTTCTTGTATTAAAGTGAACTTCGCAGAAAAAGGTCAGTTTCAAAACCTGTGAACTTCCCAGCTGCGCGTCCTCTAATTCCTTAAATAAGTATATATCTCCGTTTCTCCTCTCCCTCATTTCTTTCCTTTTTCCTTTTTTTTTTTAAAACTTTTTTCCCCCTTTTCGACAAAAAAAAAAAAAAAAACCCTTTTCGACAAAAAAAAAAAAGAAAAAATTAAAATAAAATAAAGCAGCAGCAGCGCGGTCACAGCCCCAGGGCGGCGGCGTGTTTCTTGGCCTTCAGGCGGAGGTCGGCGATGCTGGAATTCTTGCTGGTGGTCTTGGCGGCGGCGGCGGCGGCCACCACGGAGGCGGCGGAGGCGGACTCGGCCAGGGTGGCCAGCGGGAGCCCGAAGGGGGGCGCGGGGAACATCATGTAGGGGGCGTGGGCCAGGTGCGGGTGCAGGTGATGGTGCGCGTGGGCCACGGCGCTGTCCAGCTGCAGCTGCGCCTGCACCTGCGGGGACAAGCGCAGGGGTGTCACCCGCGGGGGGGGCCGCGCGTCGCCTCGCCACCCTCCCGAGCGCACTTGCCTGCTGGAAGGGCATCCTCAGCGCGCCCACGTTCACGTAGGGAGCCACCCGGCAGGCCTCGAACTGCGTGGCGGCGCCGATCAGCACCCCTGCGCGGGGGAGCGGAGCGGTCAGCAGCGCCGGGGGTCGCGGCCGGAGCCCCCCCGCGCGTGCCCGAGGCGCGCCCCCGGCCCGCTACCTTTGTGCAGCTGGTTCTCCTGCTTGCGGCACTTGGCCCGGCGGTTCTGGAACCAAACCTGCGGGGACAAAACGGAGTGACGCTCCTTGAAAGCCGGCCGGGGGAAGAGCAGCGGTAGCGATGACAGCGATAAGGGAAAATGCCCCAAAGCCCCGCAGACAAAGAGCGGCGGGCGCGCTCCGCTCCCCCCGCCCGGGCAGCCCCCGCTCCCCAGCTCCGAGGGGCGGAAGGAAAAGGGTCCGAACGGCCCGAAAATGGCCAAGGGCAGCCCCAGGGAAAGGATCGCCCCAGCCCCGGGCTCCTCTCTCCGCACCAGGCTCCCAAAAGGCTGGAATCGCTCTGGATACCCACTACGAACGGGCGGTAATGGACCGAGGAGCTCGCGCTCATTAATAAATAAATTAATTAGCTCTATCTTACAGAAAAACTCAACAACAACAACCGGGGTTTATGACTTTTTATCTTCCTTTTTTTTTTTTTTTTTATTTTCGTGGGGGCTGGAGGAGAATTGCAGTCCTAAAAGCTTCGCTACAAAGAAGTTTCGAATTTCCCTGTTCACTGGAGTGTAGCACAGAAGCGGAATAATTATCTCATTATCATAATAATCTAATTTGCTTGCACCGAAGAGGCTGCCCCGTTAGACAAGAAAGTACTTTTAATATTGGAAATGGAATCGTTAAAATAAATTCCCAGCCTGAAGTTCTGCTGGCTTTGGGAAAGGAGGGAGGGAGAGGGGGAGAGCCGGTCTTGAAACATCCCCGTTTTAACCCAGGGCTCTGCAGCTCATCCCAGCAGCCACAGCGGCCAAGGAATCCTTTCCCCGCGCCAGAAAAAAAAAAGAATTAAAAAAAAAAAAAAGAAAAATTTCTTTTTTTTTTTAGGTCTTACTTTAAAAAACGAATATAAACGGGAATTCCTCCCGCCCTGTCATTTTCTCCAGCCAAGGAAAACCTGCCCAAAAGCCACGTTCGCCCTCAGCCTCCCGTGGAAACAAGCGCGCCTTCCGTCATTTACAAATTAGAGCAGATACGAGGCAAAATATTATTGAAAAGCGGTTTTTTTTTTTCCGGGAGGATTTCTAGGGAATGGGTTTAATCTATGTAAATCTCCAAAAGTTATTATGCACCCTGCGATTTGGCATCATGGGAGCGCGGATTATGCGCCGCCGCCGCCTCCTTTGTCGAGCACCTCCCTGCTCCATTTTCCACAACCAACAACTTTTTGCCTTGGTTTTGTTAGGGTTTGGTGAACAGAAATAAAAAATAAATTTAAAAACCACGAACAAACACAATTAAAAACCAACCAACCAAAAACCAACGGAGCAGCCACGAAAAAAAAAAAAAAAAAAAAAAAGGAGGGGTGGCAGAAGAGGGGAAAAATGAAGACTTTTATTTTTTTATTTAATTTTTTTTTTTTTTTTGGTTCAGGCTCTGACAAAAGCTGCTCGTTTTGAGTTTTTCGGTCCCTCGTGCCGGCTCTGCCTCTGTCCTCACAACCCTACACGATGCAGGGAAACCCCCCAAGGACCGAGCGCATACTTGGGTGCAGATGGTGCCTGCGAGCACAAAGATCGAGGGGGAGTATCTGTTACAGCGATACTTTCCACCAGCTGCAGATGTTCGGGGCCTAAAACTTCTCCATGTGTTCCAGCAAATAATGATCATCATTTTCTCTTCTTTTATTTTCAGAACGGAAATACACCGGAGCAGCTACATTTGTTCTCATTTGAGGGATCCCCTTCCTCCCCGCTCCTCAGCTCATCCCGACCAAACTCGCAGGAAGCAGCCCAGGGACCCGTTTGGAACAACTTTGGGAGGGTGCAAAGCGCAGGGTAAACCCAGAGAAGCCGCGGCTTCCCGGGAGGACAGAAAGCTCAAAATACCTCGGGTTAATCCCGGACTTTCTGTATTTCATAAACCCGAACAAAGCACCTCGCTCAATTTTCGTGCCGTTTCAACATTTAAGAACTACGAGGCGAAACGGGCTGAAAATACACCTATCATTGTTTCCCTTGGCGGTGTCTAATTCAGTTTATGGTCGCGACATCCATGACGGGAATCGTGTCCGCGGATGAGCCGGGAGCGGCTGCCGAGGCAGGGATGGAACAACGGCGGAGCCGGGATAAACCGCGGCAGAACGAAGGGACGGGGACGCAAATCCCGGGCAGGCAAAACCCTGCGAGGCCGCTGGCAGATTTGCCGGAGGAAGTTGGGAGCCGGGGAGCTGCCTCCTCTCCCTGACACAAGGATGGGGCTCGTCCCCATCACCTCCCCGGCTCTTCCCGAGCTGCCCCTTCCCCGAGCACCCGCACCCACGCGGCCCCGGCTACCTGCACCCTGGCCTCGGAGAGCCCCAGCCGCTGGCTCAGCTCCTCCCGCATGAACGCGTCCGGGTAGTGGGTCTCGTCGAAAAGCCTTTCCAGCTCGTTCAGCTGCTCCAGGGTGAAATTCGTCCGGCTCCTCCTCTGCTTGATTTTCGTCTGCCCTTCGTCTTCCATCGCTTTCGCATCCTCCTTGCGCTCCTTCAGCTCTGGGGACACTGGGCACGACACAGCAGTCAGAGCGGCGGGGCCGGGGGCACCGGGGCTCGCCCGGCTCCCGCCGCTCCCGGCGGCCGGAGGGGGGGGGGGCGGGGGCCCCGGGGCCCCCCCCGGCCCCCGCCGCTCCCGGCGGCCGGGGGGATGCGGGCGGGAGCCCCCCGGGGCCGGGGCAGCCGGGAGCGGGGCCTGTGCGCCCGGGCCGCGCTAGGCCGCCTCGGCCGCTGCCGTTCCGGGCTCCGCCGCTGGCTCCGGTAACCGCTGCCGGGGGAAACGGGGTCCGCACCGAGCCCTCCCCTCCGGCCCCGCCGCGCCCCCGGGGGATGCGCAGCAACAGGTCCCCGGAGCCTCCGCCGGCCGCCGCGGCCCCTCCGCGCCCCGCGCCCCCCGGGATCCGTTTCTGCTCGGTCAATTCGCGGCCGGGGACGCGCCCCGACCCCCCGGGGCCGCCCGGCCGGCACGGCCCGGTCCCGCCGCGGCTCCCCGCCGCACCGATCGCCTCATTGCGGGCATCCCATCAGGGATGCTCCGGGCGCTCCGCCGGTCCGAACAAAAGGGCGGCAGCGACCCGCGGGTCCCCGCAGCCACGGGCACGGGCCCGGCCGCTTCCCGCAGCGCCCGAGAGCGGCGGGCGGCCCTGGTGCCGGCCCCGCGGTACCGCGCGGAACACCCGCGGGCGGATCTGCTGGATCTGAGCGTGGGCAGAGCGGCCCGGCCCCACGCGAGTCCGCGGAGCCGCGGGAGAACGAACGGGCCCGCGGGGCCGGGCTTTCGTTGGCGGCGCGGCTTCCCGTGGGATGCCGAACGGGAACAAGATCGCGTTCTGAGCAAGTTAAATCCGGGTTTAAATATTTTAATCTAAAAACTTCGAGGCCGGCCGCCGATCTCCCGCGGCCGGGAGAGCCCGGGCAGCCGCCCATCACCGCAGCCTCCCCGCCGGCCCCCGGCCACCCGCGACCACGGGCCGCCCCGCGCTTACCGACCCCGACGGGGGAAGGGGAGGAAGGGGAGAGGGGACGGGAGAAGGGGGAGCCCGCGGTGCCGCCGTTACCGTCGCTGAGCTTGGGGGTGGCCGCCTCGGCCGCTCTCTCGGCGGCGGCGTCGGGCTCCCGCGGCGGGGAGCGCCCGGCCGGCCGCGCCGCGGGGCTGCCCGTGTCCTCCCGGCCCGGCTCCGCCGCCGCCCCGCCGGGCTCCCGCGGGCCGCGCAGGGGCCCGCTCTCCAGCACCTCGCGGTAGGTGATCAGCTCCTTCTTCTCCTTGGCTTTGGGATCAAACGACTTGGAGACAAACGCCGTCAGCTCCTCCATGGCTCAGGGGCGCGCTGCCCCGGCTCCCCGGGCGGGCATCCACGGGGCGGGGAGGCGGCGGCGGCGGCGCCCCGGGCCGTGCCGAGCCGGGCCGGGCCGTGCCGCCCGACGTGCAGGGCTCCCGGGGTCTGATAGCGACGCCGCGATTGAAGTGGCACTATTTATACTTTGCAAAGCCGGCCCCTTGTTCCCGGCGAATTACCTCCCCTCGGAGCTCTGAATGGACCCCTTCCTTCCTCCCTTCCTTCCTCCCGTCCTCGCCGCTCGCCTCCGCGCACCGCCCCGCGTGGGTCGGGTCAGCCCCGGGCACGGCCGAGCCCAGCGGCCCCCGCCCCGGCGAGCCGCAAAAGTTCCTCCGTGGGCGCCCCGAAAAACCGAGGGGACAAATGACAGCGAGGGACGCGGCGTCAGACGAGAGCCGAACACGCCGATACCGCTGATATTGGTTTCCCTTTGTTTTTTTTTAAATCCCACCGCGGAGCGCTTTTGCCGAGGGAACGCGTCTCTTTCCCATCTTCGCTAAATTCTAATAAATTATTCAGAATTGTTTAACTCTTGCCTGCGTATCGATTTTTCATTGACCTTTGGGGCGAGGACTGCACATAACGGAGCGTTCATTTACCGGGGCGGGTTCGGTACCGGGGGTGGCGTCGGGGTTTATTCCGAGCCGGTCACACGCGACCCTGTCGCGACAGGCAGCGAGTCCCGGTGCCCGGGAGCCCGGGAGCAGCTCCCGCGGGGCGTTTTCGATCCCCGGGGCACCGGGCACGGCGGGATTCGGTGTGACGGCCCCGCCGCGGCTGCCGGCCGGCCCGGTGACCCTCACCGGCCCCTCCGCCCCGACATTTCGTTTATCCCCACGCCGTTCCCGTGGCGGGGGAGCGCGCTCTCGGGAGCTCGCGTTAAACGAACCAAATTGGGTAAGAAAATCGAATTAAGCGAAGCGATTCCGTCGTTCTGGTGCATTTCTGGTCGTTGCCCGGCGGAGGCTCCGCCCGGCCCGGTGGGTCCCGGCTCGGTCCGTGCCCACCCGCGCCCGGCGCGCTCCGTCCTGCGGGCACGGCCGCGGTGCCCACGCCGCGCGTGGAGCGCTGTCCCCCGCCCGCGGGGCGGCTCTCGGTGCCATAAACCCCCGACTCTCCTTTAACTCTCCGGGACGGAACGAAAACCGCTCCGTGCCGCTGTCCCCGCGCGGTCCCGTCACCCGCGGCGGGACAAGGACCGGCCGGGACACGCCGTGCGCCCGTGGGTCGCCGCGTTTGTCGCCGTGTGGGGCACGGTGCGGACAGAGCTCCGTGCGCTCTGCGCCCCCCGTGGGCAGCGGGATCCCGACCCCGGGACCACCCACGCTCCCCTCCTGCGCGTCACCCGCGGCGGGTCACGCCCGTGGGTCGCCGTGTCGGGCACGGTGCAGACAGCGCTCCCTGGGCTCTGCACCCCCGTGGGCAGCGGGACCCCGGCCCGACCCCGGCCCGACCCCGCCCGTCCCGCGTGGGCGCTCCCGGCGCGCCGCATCGATGGCTCGGCGCTCGCTGTGGCCGCCTGGCCGCGCTCGGCGGTGGATTGGCGCTGCCTGCCCGCCGCCCCGGAAGGCGCTGGGCTCGAACCGGGGCCGCGGCGGCTCCGCCAGGTACGGGGGACACGGGGGGGATACAGGGGGACATAGCGGGATACAGGGACACGGGGGGACACAGGGACACGGGATACAGCCGCACCGGTCCCCCAGGGCACGGCAGGGCGGTCAGCGGCCGCTGCAGGGCCCGGTGTGCGCAGCGGCCGCGCGGCCTCCGGTGCGGGGGCACAGCTCCGGCGGAGCCGGCACGGGGATCCCGGCTGTGCCGGGCATCGCCGGGGTGCGCAGGGTTGGGCCCTGGGAAGGAGTCCCTGGAGCTGTTGCTGGTGGCGGGGAGCGGCTCCGGGAGCCCCGGGGAGGTGCCGGTGCTCGCGGGCCGGGCCGCGCTCTGCTCGGCGCTGCCGCGGGAGCTGCCCCGGCGCGGAGGCCGTGCCACAACGGGCCGCTCTCCGGGAGGGGGCTGCTGGAGCCCTGCGGCTCCCGGCAGCGCTCGGGAGGAGTCTCGGTGTCCTTAACGGGGAGTTTCCCTTTGCTCCAGGCGCTCCCCGGTGGATCAGGAGCTGCTGCCCCGGCGGCCGGAGGTGTGAGGATGGGCCGGAGTTTGGATGGAGGAATTGAACGAGATGGACCCGTCTGTGCTGGGAGGAGGAGGAGCACAGAAGGGATTGGAGCTGGGAAGGGAATGGAGCCCCAGGAGGGGCTGAGGGAGCTGGGAAGGGAATGGAGAACCAGGAGGGGCTGAGGGAGCTGGGAAGGGAATGGAACCCCAGGAGGGGCTGAGGGAGCTGGGAAGGGGCTCAGCCTGGAGAAAAGGAGGATCAGGGGGAACCTTGTGGCTCTGCACAGCTCCTGACAGGAGGGGACAGCCGGGGGGGTCCTGTGCTCCCAGGAACAGGGACAGGAGCAGAGGGCGTATTTTGATTTTCTATAAATCTAAACCAAGGCAGGGCAGCCAGCAGCCCTTGTGACAGCTGCGGGTGTCTGCGTTCTGTGCAGGTCGGAGATGGGCCGGCGCTCCTCGGACACGGAGGAGGAGGGCAGGAGCAGGAGGAAGAAGAAGCACCGGCGGCGCTCCTCCTCCAGCAGCTCCTCGGACAGCCGCGCCTACAGCCGCAAAAAGTCGGGCAGGAAATCCAGGTCCAGGTCGCGCTCTCGGGATCTCCCGTCCTGGTCCCATTCCTATGAGAAAAGGTGCATTTGTGGGAGGTTTTGGAAGCTGAGCTCTTTGGTGTTAAGGCAGGAAGGGTTTGGATCCCACGGGTTGGGATTTTATGGCACAGATTGTTCTGAGCCTTAAGAGATGTGAAACTGTTTTACTTTGTCAACATAAAGCCCCAAACCTACCACCATGACCAGAAATACCCACACCACCTCCTCCCCAGCAGAACAGAGCAGGGAATGTGCAGATCCAAAGAGAAATTCTGCTTTAAAGCAGGGAAACCCCAGGAGGTAAAATAACTTTTCCTTTCTTCCCCAACAGGGACATGTCCCACTGTCCCAGGTGCTCCAAGCTCATCCAGCCTGGCCTTGGGCACTGCCAGGGATCCAGGGGCAGCCACAGCTGCTCTGGCAATTCCAGCCCAGCCAGGAATTCCCAATTCCCAATCTCCCATCTAACTCTGCCCTCTGGCAGTGGGAGCCATTCCCTGGGTCCTGTCCCTCCATCCTTGTCCCCAGTCCCTCTGCAGCTCTCCTGGAGCCCCTTCAGGCCCTGGCAGGGCTCTGAGCTCTCCTGGAGCCTTCTCCTCTCCCAGCCTGGCTCCAGAGGGGCTCCTGCCCTGCAGCAGCTCTGTGCTCCATCCTGGCTGGCTCAGTCTGGCTTGTGCTGGTGAATTTACTGGGAGGAGGAGCTGGACACTCTCCTGGTGTCCAGCTGCCCTGGGAATCCAGGAGGAAATGCTCCTGCCAGGCCTTTCTGGAGAGGCTGCAGGGTGTGCTGGGGGGTTCATTCCCAGCCCTTTCTCCTGCTCCTGCTGGATCTCCATCCTCCCCAGGGCCAGGGCAGGGTGCTGGGCTGTGAGCCCAGCCCTGGGCACCTTGGATCCTGTTCCAGCACAGCTCCAGGGAACCCAGAGGGGCTGCAGGGTCCCCAGGGCATCCAGGAATGATCCAGGGCTCTGCTTTTGGGATCCTGCCTTTGCCCCTGGGGTTAGGGCATCTGCTCCTGGCAGTTCAGGCCCTGCTCCATGCTGGATTTGTCCCTGACCCCCAGGAATCAAAGGCAGCAGCTTCTGGAATTCCTGCCCCTCATCCAGCAGGAGCATCACCTTCCCTTTCCAGGTGCAACCCTGTTCTTCAGCATTAACCTCTGCATCCTGTCCAGCATTCCAGCTCCTGCTGTGCCTTTTCCTCATGCTGGATAATCACTGAGCACATCCTGAATTCCATTCTTGTTCATATTTCATACATACAGTCTGCATAATACAATATAATATAATATAATATAATATAATTTTTATACTAACCACGCATAAAGGCCAAAAATAGGGAGGATTGTAATTGTTAATTAGTTAACAACTGGGGAGATGGGGCAGAAGTGTTAAGATTTGGATTTCATTGGGATTTTGGGTTTAATATCTTTTCTTTCACCTTTGTCCTTGGTAGAAGAATTTATTCTTTGAATAGACAGAACGGGGAGGGAGGGGAAAAGGAAGAGACCCTTCTGGTTTCTGACTGGACTCAGGAGGGAACTGCCCTTAAATGAACTCAAATGAAGTAAATTAACCCTGATTAACTGATTACTACTAACAGTAGTTAAGGACCCCACCCAAACTTCATTTTTATCAGGAATGTGGATTTTGGAGGATCAGCTCTTTAGGGCTGCAGTGTCCCTGTGTGTGTGAGTTACTTTTATGGGGGAATAGTGGGATTTGAGGCTGCTGGAGCACCCTATAAACCCCCCAAGTCTGTGCGTGTTTTCTCAGGAATCCCTGGGGGTTTGTCCCTCTTTTTTGGGGTGTTTGGGAGCAGTGCTAGCCTCAGCCCTGGCTGTGTTTTCTTAGGAATCCTTGGGGGATTTTCTCTGTTTTTTTGGGATTTTTAGGCAGTGCCATGCTCTCCCTGGCTGTGTTTTCTGAGGAATCCCTGGGGATTTGTCCCTGTTTTTGGGGTTTTTTGGGGCAGTGCTATATACAGCCTGGCTGTGTTTTCTCAGTGATTGCTGGGGGTTTGTCCCTGTTTTTTGGGGTTTGGGGAGCAGTGCCAGCCTCACCCCTGGCTGTGTTTTCTGAGGACTCCTGGGGGTTTGTCTCCGTTTTTGGGGTTTTTGGCAGTGCCAGTCCCACCCCTGGCTGTGTTTTCTGAGGACTCCTGGGGGTTTGTCTTTGTTTTTGGCAGGGCCAGCCTCACCCCTGCTCTGTTGCAGGCGCAGACACAGATCCAGCAGCAGCTCTTCCTACGGCTCCAGGAGGAAGCGCAGCCGCTCCCGGGGCAGAGGCAAATCCTACAGGTCCCAAAGGTCCAGGTCAAAGAGCAGGACCAGGAGGTAAGAGTCTCTCCCAGGAAAAAAACAACAGTGGTATTTCTGCTGGAAAAACATTCCTGGAAAATCCTGCCATCATTACTGAGCTTGGGATAAATGGGAATAATGGCTGCAGGTGATGGTTTGAGCCACACATGCCTGGAAATTCCTGATTTGGGGTCTGGAGTGCTTGCCACACACTAAATCTTTCAGTTACCCTGGTGAAGCAATTTTGAAGATAAGATATTTATTTTGCATTTGATTCAAGCAAAAAACAAACAAACAAAAAAATCCCATAAATAGGGTCTCTTGGTGTCATACAATTATTTGGAAATGTCTTGTGGATTTTTCCCTTTGGTTCCTGCTTTCCATAATTCCCACACATAACACTGGCTCCCTGAAGTTCAGAATAAACTGCTTTTCTCACCTGTGTTCCTCTTGGAAAAGGATGAGTCTTTAGTTATGCAATCTTTTATTAATATTTAAGGTTGTCTGCAGTGAAAGTTTGCATGCATTGGTTTGTGACAAACCAATATTTCACAATTTAAATATTTAAATCTTAACCAGAAGTTGCAAAAGCTATTATAAAATCTGCTTTTCTTCTTTAATTAAAAGATGCTCACGTTGTGCTTGTGTGTATTTTTCAATTAAGAGGTTTAACTGAAGTTTATTCTGGCTACCAGGTTTCCCATTAGCATTTTCTATTGATTTAAAATTAATTATTGACTGGAGCAGGCAGATCAAAGCTGTTTGGGTCCATATTTAAAATCTTCAGCCGGGTGATTTCGTGTGCCTGCACTAAGGATTTGTTAAACCTTTGGTTTCCATGTCCAAACCAGGAGAGCTGTTGCCTCTAAATGTTGACAAATTGTTGTTGAAAGATGTGAATATTCCCCTTCTATTCTTTGTGCTGTGCCATGACTTATTCCCAGCTGTTCACTGGAAGAGTTGCTTGGACCTTTTATTGCTGCAGTGCCTTTGTAGTAGAAATTTGATTATTTAGAGTTAGAAATAAATTTAGAAATTAAACTGCCTGACCTCTCCTGGAGTATCCTCCCCATCAGAGCTGTGCAGCTGTTCCTGTGCAGTGAATACCCACTTTTTTTTGCTAAGAAAATCAGTTTGAACCCACAGAAATGTCAGAAGAGTGAGGTGAAAGAGAAGGCTTTTCACATGCTCAGTGTTAGGAAGTGTGATAAACTGATTTAAAAATTTTTTATTATTATAAAACAATATGTAATAAATTACAGACCTCATTAGCTATGGTTTAATGGTCATACAATAATATATAATAAATACAAATTGCAGCTCTCACTAGCTGTGGTTTAGTGGTCATCTTTTCCAAGGGATTTGATTTTAATCTTGGTTGCAATATATGGAAGTTAGGCACCTAAGGATCTGAAAAACCTGGCTACTGCTAGGAAATACTGTGTATTAAATAGTTGATGTACCAGATATTTTATGTATTAAATATTTGGTGTATCAAACATTTCATGTATTGAGTGTGCAGCACTGGAGGGGTAGAGCTGCACATTCCTTGAACTGCTGGTCCTATTCACACCCACAGAGGGAAAATATTGCTAAATAACATCCCAAATGATCCCACAAGAGTCCAAAAGCTTAAAGTGAAACCCAACAGGACACATCCCATCCTTTATTGTAATTTCTTCTGAGTCTGCTGTAGTGTGGCACTGAGCAGCTCTGGATTAATCTGATTTTGGAGAGTTAAATCTTGGTTTAGCACAAAGCTGCTGCTCCAGACCTGTGCTTGCCCTGCTTGTCAGTGATGCCAAATAATCCCTTTTCTGCCTCAAAATCACTCAATACAGGGCTCACCAGCTTTCCAAGGAGTTTAGGATTCCTCAGCCTGGAAAAGAGATTGTGGGGGAGAGAAGGGAATGTGATGGAGTGGTAGAAAAAATAAACCTAAAAATAAAAACGGTGGGAAAAGGTGGTTCAGGACTGAGGGTCCCCATCTCTGCCCGTGCTCCACCTGGGGCAGCTGTGACAATGTCCTGGAAAATGAGTGTGTTTGTAGTGCTGGCCTGGAATTCTCACGAATTCCAGCTGTAATTCCAGATTTTTATTTGTTCTTCGTGGCACAACTTATTTTCCCTCTGGTTTTTCAAGGGAAATCCTGAAGAAACCACTCGTAAATAATTAATAAAAGGATCCAGAGGAGCTCAGGCAGCCCCTCGTGTTCCTGTGGTGAGGAATGGGTTATCCAGGGGAATATTCCTGGGGATCTCCAGCTTCTGCATTGCCAGGGGGGAGGAAAATCTGCTGCCCACCTGGAAAGGGGAGATCAGCCCTGGGTTTGTACCCTCCTGCTGCACCCTCAGGGGATTATCCCCTTTAGCAGCCCAGCAAATGCCATTTTTAAATTTTATTTTAGTAATTAGGGGTCTACCTCTAGAAAATTACCTTCCTGTTGGAAGTTAAGCTCTGTTACGTGGTCTCTTTAAATGCCTGGAATTGTTTTTGGTATAAATCATGCAGGTGGCACAGATTCTGTATCCTGTAATGTCTTTTCTCCCCACAATCCTCTTTTAATGTGTTTTTCAAGGTAGTGAAGGTGGTGTTAAAAGTAATGTGTTTTTTAATAACTTCTCTAACACAGGTGTTTTATTTGAGCAGGTGATTTACACATCTCCAGCAGTGCAAAACACTGAGCTAGATCAAGTTTTACTTTCAAAAGTTGGGTTTTTATAATGATATGTGTAAGATATTTTAAAGAGGTGTTGTTTGCAACCTAAACTGATTTCTTGTAATTTATTGGAGAAGAAAACTTGTGCATATTGTGATTATTTTAGATGCATTTTTAGGATGAAAAAGGTGGGACTTCCCAGTATTGCTTGTACTTTTTTTGATAAGATAAAAAAAACTTCTTATGCATATCATAATTCTTCTATTTTAGATGCATTTTTAGAGTTAAAAAAAGTGGAGCTTCCTAATAATAGTTGTGTTTTATTTGAAAAGATAAGAAAACTTGTGTGTGTGTTGGCTATTTCATTTTAGATGCAGTTTTTAGGATAAAAAAAGTGGAGCTTCCCGGTAGTGGTTGTGTTTTATTTGAGAAGATAAGAAAACTTGTGCATATTATAATTATTCTATTTTAGATGCATTTTTAAAGTCAAAAAAGTGTAGCTTCCCAGTAATGCCATAAATTCCAAGCTGTCCTACAGTGAGGGAGTACAATGCAAATACGACTTAATAAGATCACAAACTGAATTTCAGCAGAAACAACCAAGATTTACATTAAATTAGGAATTTTAAAACCGATTTAGTTTGTTTTACTGAGCATTTGCTTAATAACATTTCGCCTCCTCACAATCTTTTTAAAGCCAATAATTCGTCTGCGAAGCGCGGGCACATCCTCCCGTGGAAAAATTGGAAGCAACAGCTCCCTCTCTGCAGCCAGGCATCCAGAGCTGGGAAGGAATATTTCAGCTCCACGGAATTTAATAAATCATCCCATTTCCTAATTTGATCATATTAGATGCTGATGTGGAAGGAGCATTTCAAATAGCAGCTCCTCATTAATATACATCAGGCTGGGGAATAGCGGGGAATACTTATGGAGGGATGTCACAGTTCCTGTTCCTTAGTTTACTAAGTGGAACAGGTTGATGTGATCCTGGGTGTTATTTGTCACTGTCTTGCTAAAATGGTTTGGGTCGAGTTATGGAGTCCAGGAAGACGGCGGCTGATAAATCAAAAGTGGATTGAGTGGACAGCAGGCAGTGATTGATACCGTGACAGGATATGAAGAAAGGAATCTTGATAGGAGCATGCCCCATATTGAATATGAGAAGGAAAATGGCCCTGGAGTATGGATATTATTCAAGGAAATGAGAATAATAATATCATCTTGAAATTATTGCTGGGTGAAGATTAGGAGAGTTCTTATTAGAATATTCTGCTGCTGTGGCTCCTGCAGGATTGTGGGCTGGATGGAGCCCTGGGAATATTGGGAGACTTTCCACTGTGATTGTTCTGCCAGTTAATCACATAGAAAATACTCTGCAGCAGAACTTGCTGCACAAATCTTCTAATTCACGGAGCTTTAAATAGAATTAACCAAAAAATGTTGACCTTTATTCCCTGATTTCAGCCAATCCTGGAACTGCCTCTGAATATGCAAGTTTGCTTTATTGTCTGCCAAATGTCTTTGGCTTCTCCCATTATGTTAAGCTGCAAACTGCTGCCTTCAAATATCTTTAATGCGCTTCAACTTAAAAATCAACACAAAACCAGCAAGTGCATCTGTACATATTGAAGAAGGAAAAAAGATTATATGGGAAGTAATCCTGCCTGGAGAGCTGATCCTTGGCAGTGGGGCTGAAGGAGGTGTTGGATCGGGTTTTACATCTTGTTTCTTTGCCATTCCTGCAGTCTAATTAATTTCATGTTGCAGAGTGTGCAGGTTATTGCATGCAGGGCAGGGGAGCTGCAGCTTAGGGCTGGCTTTGGCATGGGGTTGGGTTTGGGGATGCAAAAGCAGCTGCCATTATCCCAGCAGTGTGAACTGGAATTAACCTGGCTTCAGCCTGGCAGAGTTCTTTGTGTTTAGCAGTTAATTTGTGCTATTTAATACCAGGGTCCTCAAGTGCAGTGTGAAAAGGGTCATTAAACAACTGAGAGTAAAACCCCACTGGTTATGGTTTTTTGGGGTCTTTGAGATTTTTTTAATACCTTCTCTAAAAATTGTTGTTATATACTTTATTGAGGGGTTAATACTGCACACTTTGGAAGACTTTTTAAAGATGGTATCACTGAATGCTTTTGTATTTGTGTTACTGGTAGCTGTCTTCAGTTCATCTCCTTTTTTCCATGCAATTATTTTAGTGTGGGATTGAAGTGCTGGAGTCTTTCCACATTAAAACCTGTCCTATCAGACCTCAGAGCTGATAAGACCTAGTGGATCAAGACACAATTTGTAGTAATTTTGTGTCTGTCTGTCCTGCTCAGCACATGCTGGTGGAGAGCTTTTCATGGATTACAGAACAGGGGCTTCATTATGA